CCCATCGGAAGCGAAAAAGGGAAAAGGCAACAAAACATTGATTTCCCCTAGGTTTTGAATCCATTTTGGCCTCTGGGGGGAATCCTTTGAGGGCTCGGAGGGCACTTGAACCCGTCTTGGGGCCGTCTTGAAGCCTCTTGGATGTGTGTTGGAGGCTATCTTGAGCCGTCTTGAGGTACCTTGGGCGATCTTGGAGGCCATCTTGGGCTAGCTAAAGCCCTCTTGAAGCCATCTAGGGCCATCTTGGACGCTCTGACCCCTCGCGGGGGAGCCCGTCCAGACCCAGGGAGGGGGGGAGGTAAACCTCCCGAGGAGGGAAAGCAAGGAGGTTAGAAAAGGAGCTGGTGGGATATCTCGACATGCGTCTCCGCACCCGGTCGATCTCCGGTCGGTCTCCGAGTCTCTCGGGGTTGGCCACGGGACCTTGAAGACGAGAAGCCGCACCCGAGATCCATTCGGGATGCTGGATGGCTGGGTCCGCGTCCTCCGCTTCGTCCCTCGTCGCGTGACGGAGGTCCTCCCCCTGATTGGCCATGGTGGAGGTATTATGCCAATAGGCTTTGTTCCCTGGATCTCGGTTCCATCGATTGGCTGCGTGGCGTCTTGGCTGAGTCTGCGTCTGCTCTGGAACGTGCTGCATCGGCACAGAGATATCAATCTTGGACATCATGGGCCATCCTATCTGTCCAGGAAGGCGGTTCTGCTGCGCACCGATTCGTCAAGGGATCGATGGATTGGGCATCTTTTGACAAGACCACCCCGAACCCAGACGCCCCAGTCGGCACGCCGCAGCATCATCTTAAGGCGCGAGAAGAAGTTTGGCATTCTATCTGGGATCCCATGAAGGAGCACCCTGATGATCCTGGCCTTGCTCTGGAATTTCCGCCGATACTTCCTGATGACCTTGCATCCTTGCCGCACCCGTCTCTGGACAAGTACAGACAGATGTGTCGCAGATACAAGGCTCGCACGTCGGTTGGACTGGATTCGATGCATCCTCGTCACCATGCGCTCCTGTCGGACTCGTCTCTTCTGGCCTTGTTCGGCATCTGGCGGGCTGTTCTGCGACTGGGTAGATTTCCCCCCATTCTCGCGGTGCTCATCATGAATTTGATACCGAAGACTGATGGCGGCGAGCGCACTGTGGCACTGTTCACGACGTGTGTGCGCACGTTCTCTCGGTTCTTCAGGCACACGTACGGTGTTATGTTGGCGCGCCTACATCCTCGTCCATATGTGTATGGTGTGCGCGGTCACTCCTGTCAAGCATGTGTGTGGTGCATGGGCGTGCTAACGGAGCTTGCTGCGTCCAAGGGCCTGTCTGTGATTGCACTTATGCTCGACATCCACACGGCTTTTGAACAGGTTCGCCATAAACTTCTCATTCGACGAGCTAGCGAGTTTGGGTTTCACCCGGCACTCTTGAGGGTATTTTTGTCTCTGTATCGATCCCCACGTGTGGTCACGTTGCGCCGAATCGTCGGGGAGTGGGTCAGGGCTAGTAAAACTATTGTGGCTGGTTGTTCCTTTGCCGATCTGTTTATGCGTATTTTATTGATGCCTGAGTTGGATTCCTTTCTTGAGTCTTATCCAAATATGCATCTTGGCCTCGTCGCCGACGACGTCCAGGTCCTGGGGATAGGCACGGAAAGGGAGTTGCTCAAAATGGGTCCTGATGCGTCACACCTCTTGATGAGCAAGCTGACCTTCTCTGCACGTTTGCCACTTTCTGAGAAGAAAACTGTGCTCTTGGCGACCGACCCCCAGTTGGCCCAGAGTATTGCAGCTGAAACCCCGCGTCTCGCTCGTGCCGTCAAGTTCTCCTGTCGCAACCTCGGGATTGACTATCAGCTTCGTCAGGGGCGTCGCTCTCGTCCTGTCCTCAATGGTCGTTTGAAGAAAGCCATGTCTAAGGCCCGACGCCTTCTGAGGCTAAAGAGAGCTGGTGCGAAGGTTGCAGGTGTTGTAAACACCAACCTGCGGCCCACGGCCATGTACGGCATCGATGTTGTTGGTCTGTCTAGCCATCAGATTCGTCAGGTTCGTACTATATACCACGCTGGTCTTGGCACAGGTAAGCGTCGGTCCGTCGCGATGGATTTGGCTTTGCATGGTGTTACGGACCCTGCGATTGATGCGCATGCGGAAGTTATTCGCCTCTGGACTGTCTCTAGATGGGATTCTCTTTTGCCCGTCGGTATGATAGACCAAGTGTTCCAGGAAGCCTACACCAAGGTGACGCCAGATACCCCGTGGACTGACTTGCAGGGCCAGGACAGATCTCGGTAGCCACTCTGCGTCGGATTGGGTGGCCTGCGGTCTCGCCCACAATATGGCGGAATTCTCTTGGAACCGACGTCGATATTTCGTCTACGTCCCCTCGTGAGGTGGTTGCATTGGTGACTCGTGACGCGACTGTCTGGGCTTGGAAGCAGGCCTCTGAGCGTCACCCAGCCTTCAGTCACCTGTCTGGGCCCCCCCTTCCTGCCTCCTCTACTCCCCCTTTTGTCAAAAAGGACTGAAGGATGGGGGGTGCTCCAGCAACGTGCTCTGGGGGCCTTTCTATCTGGGGGCATATACTTAAACCTCGGTGCCTCATTTGTCAGATTGTCCCTTCTGACCCAGTGTTTCACACCCTCTACGAGTGTGATGGGCTTCTGGAGTTTCGTCGTTGGTTCGGCCCGACTCCAGCCCTCACACGCTGCATAGAGCAGTATCGCGAGTACCCTGTCTGGACCACTGCCATGGTTCCCGACCCGCGCTATAGCTCCTTGCTCGCACCACCTTCCCCAGACCCTGTCTGGGAAGGGGCCACCGGCGGCCCCTTTTTCTCGTCGCCTGCGTATGGAGACGGTTCGGGGAAGCATGGTCCCTCGCCGCTCACTCTCCGCTGTAGATGGGGCGTCTGCTCATTTGCCCCGCGTAGCCGAAACGTCGTTGGTGAGCCTCTCGCCAATACTCGGCTTCGTCTCAATGCTGGAGCTTACGGCATGCATCCTTTTCTCACCCAGGATGTCCCAGGGTCTGAGCTCTATGCGTTTTTATTTTATCTCACCCATGCTGCCCCCTCCGACTGCTATGAGTACGTCACGGATGCCCAGTATGTCGCTGACGGCTGGGCAATGGGGTTTGAAGCTACCACGCACGGCTGGGCCACCCATGCATCCTTGTGGGTCAGGGTTCACCGTGCGGCCTCAGATCTCGGGTATCACCTAATTAAGGTCACCAGGTTCCGTGGCCATTCCACCTCGGTTGGTAATAAGCAGGCCGACAGACTTGCTGACCTAGGTGCGGACCTACACTCTCAGGACACGGTCCTGCACGACCGAGTCAAGCGCTCTGGATTGCTTGTGCGTAATCTTGGTGCTTATATCGGTCATTGTATAGCGTGGATCTTTAGGAATGTACCCAAAAAGGCTTGGGCGGCGGATTATGATGAGATTCCTGCCCCCTCGGTCCCGCCCCTAGTCCTCTCTGGTGCCTCCTCTGGGGCCTTGCATGAGCATTTCTGGGACCCTTCGGTGGGCCGTTTCCGCTGTGTACATTGTTGGGCTAGCTCGGTTTCCAAGAGCTACTTGTTGCGATCTCAGTGCTCCTCTCCCACCGGCGGTGGGCACGTACTCAGGCGATTAAATAATATCATTTTTTGTCGCCGCTGCGGCCGCTACTCGTGTAAGAAGGTGGCTGATTTAACGAAATCCTGCACTGGCCCTCCACGAGCCCCTGGAACCATCTCACGGCTCCGCCGCATGTGTGATGGACGTGACCCCCGCACTGATCAACCAGTCGGCGATGTCACTGCCGTTGACAATGTCAACGTTATATATGCCTTTCCTGACCCTCATGATATCTTTAACTTCCAGGCTCTGTTTGATCCTGCGTGGCTTCTAGAGCCCGCGTAGATATCTTGGGGTTAACATAGGTGGAAGGTGGGGGGCGGTCCGACTCTTACGTTATCTATTCTGCATTGCTGGCCCATCTTGGTTCCCGACACCAGCCCGCCAGAAGTGTAGGTTGTAACACCAGGTGCGCCGACACGTCTATGTTGTGCCAAATGTCATGCGCCGACGCGTCTGTAGTCGGCTAGGCTTGGGGATAAGTGGGTACAGAGGCGCTGAGAAGCAGGCGCCCGTTCCGCCTGCGCCCACTCATCCCCTTTGTATGCTGTTGTCACGCCTTCCCCCGCCCAGGCTCGCAAAGAGAAAGACTCTTGCTCCGCCTGCCGCGCGGGGCGACATCATGGCATGCCTCTCTAACTGATGCCACGAATCTTTCTGCTAGTCGAATTGTCCCTGTGCCGACACGTCAGGGCTCGTCGATTAGGCCTGAGGATGAGTGGGTACAGAGGCGCTGAGAAGCAGGCACCCGTTCCGCCTGCGCCCACTCATCCTCTCTTGTGCTGTTTTTCGCCTCTCCCCCGCCCAGGCTCGCAAAGAGAAAAGACTTTGCTCCGCCTGCCAGCGGGCGACATCAGGGGTTTGCCTCTCTGCTGCGCTTTGAATGGCGCCGAAATGTCACGGGAAGGAATCGATGCTGAGGCGATGGTATTCAGTCCCTTGTTCTGACTGCGCCAATTCCTTCCATTGTGACTTTTCTTTGATCCCGCGCAGCCCAGGCTCGCGAAGAGATGAAGGGCTCTCCGCTGCCTTGCTGCGTCCTGTTTTGTTTGCATGTTGCCGCCTGGCCAGAGGTTGAGGCTTAAAGCCCAGGAGTCAGGACAGGGGCTCCAAATTTAATTGCCAGGTCTTGCCAGCATCGCTTGACGTCTCGGGCCTTCGATTTTTCGTTGTCCCTGTTTTCGGTTCGGTCCCTCGGTCGGCTCTGTCTGGGTCCTGGTCCGTCCCTCGCTTCTTTCGGCCCTCCCTTCGGGCCCCTCGCTCGTCGTTTCGGCGCCACGGGCAGGAGTGTTCGGCAGACGATCACCCGAGTGCAAATCAAAAAATCAAAAATCCTTCTCTCACCCCTCCTCTGCCACTCCTCCCCCCGCCTCGTCTGGACAGGTACGCCTTCATCAACTTCATCCAGCCGTGTTACGCCCCCGCCACAGCCGAGCCTGGCGCCGGCCCCCGACCGATATGCCTCCGCCCGGGGCTCCCCCCGCCGATCGCCGCCCCGGGCCAGCGGCTTCCCGGGCAGCGGCGGGGCGAGCCGCAGCGGCGCCCGAGCGCGCCCCGCGCAGCTCTTCGATCGCGGTTCCGGTCCCGGCCTCGCGCTCGCCCAGGGGCTCTTTTGTGGCTCGCTTGGGTTTTCTTTTTTGTTTGTCTCTTTTTTTTCTTTGTATCTTTTTTTCTTATTTTTCTTTATTTGGCATTTTTGGATGATGATATCTATTGGCGAGCCCAACTGTGCCGGCGCGCGCACTGTGCCGCAGCACGTCTGTGGGAGGAGGAGGAGGAGGAGGAGGAGGAGGAGGAGGAGAGAGGAGGAGAGGAGGAGAGGAGGAGGAGGAGAGGAGGAGGGAGGGGAGGAAGGGAGGGAGGGTGGGTGGGAGGGAGAGGAGGGAGGAGGAGAGGGGGCGGAGGAGGGAGGAGGAGGGAGGAGGAGGAGTAGGTAAGGGGAGACGGAGGAAGGAGGAGGAGGAGGAGGAGGAGGAGGAGGAGGAGGAGGAGGAGGAGGATAAGAGGGCGGAGGGAGGAGAGGAGGAGGAGGGAGGAGGAAGAGGAGAGGAGGAGGAGGAGGGAGGAGGAAGAGGACGGTAGGTGTTCTTTGGATCGCGAGGCCGAGGACGCACGAAGCCTCGCGGCGAAGAGGAGGGAGGAGAGGAGGCAGGCGGAGGGAGGGAGGGTGTGTGCTGAGATCGGCGGCCTCGCCGATCCTTCCCTCCGCTGTCGCAGCGAGCCCCGCGCGGCCTCGCTGATGGCGGTCTGTGGCGTCCCCGCGCCGAGATCTGCCAGAGCTTCGAAATGCTGCAGCACGCACGCGCACGGGCGGGGCACTGGAGGCTGCACGTTCAACACAGCTTCAACCCCCAAACACTACGTGATATGGTCGTCGTTTCCTCATTCGTTGTTTTTTTTTCCGATCGGCGCGGGCCCTCGCACCCCCCTGCCCCCCCCCCCCCCCCCATGGAGTCGATCTTGGCCGTTTTTGGCGCCTGTTTCGAGCAGGTGGAGTCTCCCCCAAAGAGCGCACTGCTGCAAACAGGCGCACTAAGCAGAGGTCCGGAGCCAGGCCCCCCCCTCGCCTCCCCATTCCGCCCAGTGTCGAAGCGCCGAAGAAGAAAGCGCTCACCAAGCAGCCTTCTCGCCTATGCCAGCTGCCCTGACTCTTCTCGAGCCTCGCCTCAGACGGCTGCAGCACGGGCGGGCACTGGTGGGGCGCCAGGGGCTGCCCGTTCGGCAGGAGGGCGCTCCTCCCTCCCTCGCCCCCCTGCTTGGCATCGCTCAGACGTGTGCATTTTTTCTTCGGCGAGGACCATCGAGGAGCATCCTTGACCATTTGGCGAAAAAAACTACGCACGACACCGAAAAAAAGCACAGGGAATGGACGTCCGAGCGATGACCCCCCTGCCTCTGCCCCGAAGGACGGGGGGCGCCCGAGATCCGACGCCGCAAAAATGCCACAGCGCCGCCCTTCGAAACAGGACGGGAGCTGCCGACCCCGCCCCTGCGCGGGACCTCTGCGCGGACCGAGCTGGAGCCCGTGAGAGCCCCAGGGGCCCGAGGCGGGGAGAAAGCTCCGGTCATCATCTTACAGTGCCGTTTTCAGTACATGCTCCGCGTGCGGATCATGTATCACAAATGCAGGGATTCAGCATTAAAAGCTACGATGAGTTCATGCGTAAGTTTATTCATAAACTGATCATGTATGTAACATCCCATATTAAAACAAAATCCCATGTCTTGAAAACTGCCCTGTACGCCCCCCGGATCTGAGGGTCCCTCGGCCCTCGCAGCTGCTTCTCGGGCCCTGCCTCGGGCCTCGGGTGGCCATTCTCTGGGCGACACCAGGCTTTGGCATCGCTCGGACGTGTGCATTTTTTTTTTTGGTGAGGACCATCGAGGAGCATCTTTGATCATTTGGCGAAAAATGTACGCACGAAATCACGAACGGACGGGGAAGGGACGTCCGAGTGATGGCGAGCAGGGCTCGCCAGAAGGCCCACGACATAGCGCAGCTGGTGGGAAGCAGCCCGGGCTCCAAAAGCTACAGGGCAGCTGGAGAGCTGTACCTCGAAAGTCCTGGTCCTCCTCCTGCTTTCCCTCCAGCGTGAGGAGGCGAGCCGAGGCGTGGATGTTCAAGCAGACGTACGAAGGGCGCAAGATGAGCAGCTTCAACTCCAGCAAGATCGTGGGCGTCATGCCCGCCGCTCTCCAGGACTCTCCCGAAGACTGGCGTTGCTTGCTCCTCCACCTCCTCATCCCTCTCCCTCTTCTTCCTCTTCATTATTCCCCTCCCCCATATGCTCCTCGTCCTTGTCTTCCTCCGCCCCCTCCTCACTCCTGCTCCTTCTGCTCCTCCTCCGCCTCCTCCTCCTCCTCCTCCTCCTCATAATCATCATCATCATCATCATCATCATCATCATCATCATCATCATCATCATCATCATCATCATCATCATCATCGTCGTCACCATCATCATCATCATCAGCATCATCAGCATCATCAGCATCATCATCACATCATCAGATCATCAGAGCATCATCATCATCATCGTCGTCGTCATCATCATCTTCTTTGTCATCGCCATCATCATCATCGTCTTTGTCATCACCATCGTCAGAATCATCATCAGCATCATCATCATCTTCATCGTCGTCATCATCATCCTCATCGTCAGAATCCTCTTTCTCCTAGTCATCTTCCTTGTCCCCCTCCTCCTCCTCCTCAAGCAACGCGGCGGCCTGCAGGGCTTCCAGGCGAACTACGACCACTACTCCACTGCTCGAGTGAATCGCGGGGACCCGTCCACCAGGCGCCTCGCCTTGCTGTTCCTCCTTTCATTCCTCATCCTTCTCCTCCTAACCCTGGTCTAAGCCTTGAGTTGGCCTCCTCTTCCTCTCGATCCTCATCATCCCATGTTCCCTGAGTTGGCTTTCCCAGAGAGGACTCCCCCTTTAGCCCTAAGACTAGGTCACATCCCCTCGCTGCGCGCGCAGACTCTCGCGTGGGAGATCTTGAGCATGACCCCGGGAGCCCACTTCGGTCCGGGCTCCTCGACATTGCCGCGTCGCACTCGACTCCAGGGACGCTCCGAGGCACCAAACGACACCAACCTCCTACGATCCCGCGCGTCGCACGCCGCTGCGTGGTCCGCAAGATCTTGTCGTCGTGGCGGCAGCCACTCCGAGTTGCGTTCCCGCCTCAGCCCCAGCCACTCGGCGCTGGCCACCCTCGCCCAGGCGCTGGCCACAGTCCTGGCTCAGAGTTCGCCTGAGTACCCGCCACATTCCCGAGGAGCGGTCGGCATCTACGGGCGCGTCTGGATGTGAGCTACTTGCCAGGAGCATGCGTGCTTCTGTTGGCCTTGCTTGCCTGCCTCCGTCCTCGAGTGTGCCCAGTCCCCATCTTCCTGCTCGTCTACTCCTTGCGCGCGTACTGAGAGCACACGGTGTTTTTTTGGGCATTCGCTTCAGCGCCTTTTCCCTAGCTCTCTCAGAGGGCCAGCGTGTGTGCCGCGGCGCCCGTCGCCCTCTTCCTGGGCCGCCTCCAGGCGACGACGGCCGAGTCTGGCCCCAATCCGCGGGGGCGCGAAGAGGAGCGCGCTTCGCGGGCCTGGCCCGGAGAGGTGCTTGCTTCTCCACTTGGGGCGGGGCGGAGGAGCGCAAAAGAGCCGCGCGCCTCTCCCCGCGCGGCGCGCGGCGCGAAGCGAGGCGCACTGGAGTTCTGGCCCGTGATGGTGTTCTCGATTCGGTATTGGCGACGTCCTCGAATCGTGGCCTCGCTCGGACGTGTGCATTTTTGTCGGCGAGGACCATCGAGGAGCATCTTTGATCATTTAGCGAAACATGCACGCACGAAATCGAAAAACGCACGGGGAATGGACGTCCGAGCGATGGCGAGGAATGAGGCACTGCGCTGTGGCCCCAGCGTGGGCCGCCTTGCTGGCCCAGAACGGAGCCCTCGCCGCAGCGTCACAGCCCCATCTCGGAAGGGTGCTCCCGCCCCAGCGTCGGCCACACTCCCAGTGTGAAGTCGGGCCTGTCCCTCTACGGGGGGAATGTTCAAAACATAAGAAGAGAACGGTTTTTGACCATGTTGTAATATTTGTGGTGTATTGTTTGGATACGATTTATTATCCCTTCAGAATCCGCCTGTAGGGGGACATGCCCGACCTAATCCCAGTTCGAAATGGCGCTCTCGCTTCAGAGTAGGCCATATGCCTCCTCTAGTCAACGCTCGCAGTCTTAAGCGCGCACATGTCACTCTTGTATGTATTATTTGCTGTCCTGCTCCTGCTCCTCTTGAGCGGCACCTCCGTGACCATTTTTGGCTCAAACCATGTTGGCTCAAAGCTAAAGGGGTGAAGCTACAGTAATAGAGCGGATCACGATTACTCTTGGTTGCCTCCACAGGCAAGGCTTAGACCTTACCTAGTACCCAGAAGGGGTGCCAGGACGGCTCACTTGTACCCAGAAGAGACGCCACCCAGACGCGAGCTGCTCGGCCACGCAAGCCCTTTGTGCGATAATTCGTGCTATGCCAGGCAGTCCAGCCTTTGCTCCCATGGCCCCGAGGCATTCGACGAAACACCACACATGAAAGAGATTCGCTCGAGTCCATCGCGCCAGCGTTCTCCATCCAGATACAACGTGAGCCCGTCTCATGGACGACGCCGCAAGCAGATGACAGCAGCGAGAGCGTCGGGGTCGCAGCCGCAATGACAGTTCGGCAGGACCTTCCTGGAACCCGTGTCCTGCACGTCTTGCACGCCCGGCTAGATGCCTCACGGGTGTGAAGAAGAGCAACGTCGCTGCCACCAAGTTTAAGCAGAGTATGCAGCAGGATAGTGTTGCACTCCGCCAGTCATCCATGGTACAGGACAAGAATGTTCAGAGAGTGCATGAACGTTGCACGGTTGTCGAGACAAGACGGCAGGGCATGATCATGTCTGAAGTACAGGGCGCAGTTGAAGAGAAGACCAGTGCGATCGAGTCTCAGTTTTCGGATTTGCAGGAGAAGCAGCAGCAGCAGCAGCAACAGCAGAGCAGCGGCGAACTCAGTTCGATGGGAGGTGGCCCTGAAGCTACCTCAAGAGCTTTTCGCAGCATGCAAGGTCGTTATTTCCAGGGCCGCCAAGTCCTACTCCATCGCCTTCCCTACCGAGGACATGGCCTCGCGCTCCGGCCACATCACCGCAGATCATACCATCAATTGAACGAACCCAGGACGTTGAGGAGTTCGTATTGTCAAGGTGCGGTACGACGGTGGGCGGGAGGCAGCGGGTGATTTGGACGCCGTTGCACGAGAGTTTGCAGGGCTGCGACTTCCAGCGGCAGATCGCGGCGACCGTGGAGGCGAAGTGGGTGTGTCGCACGGTGGAGCTGTACAAAGGCGTTCTTAGCTAGGCTGCCGCGAACCGCTTTGGCTCGCGCCAGCTACACGTTGGACGAGGGGGCCGTCGAGGACGGCGCATTCGCGGGTGCGGTGACGCTCGGGTCGCCCTCCGACCTGCCCTCGGGCCGCGTTGGTGCCTGCCAGCCGCTCGCTGCGCTTCGGTTGAGCGTCTCGGCGGTCCAGGCGCGGGTTCACGGCGCGCCGTGCTTCGCGGAAGACTTCGTCGGCTGCAGGAGGTTGTCCCCAGCCATCGAGATCGGTTCTGGCAAGGTCTGCCTCGTGGTCGCCGGGGTCGACGTCGAGCGCAGGACGCACGGCCAGCCTTGGGAATTCAGCAAGGCAAAGGATCGGGCCCAGCTGCGCTGCGTGTCCTTCGAGGTGCTGCAGCTGGCAGGCGGGCACGCCGCCCTGCCCTGCCCTCCGTGGAGCAGCCTGGGAGCTCGCCAGCCAGACGCCGCTGCGATGGCTTTCGCCTCCTCCGCCATGGACGGCCTGGAGCACTTCGCTGCGGCGGGCTGCTTTGCCTCCTTCGAGGGCCCTCGGTCGCGCGGCCTGCGGCGGGCAAGGGGAAGTCGGCGGAATTCGGCTGCGCGGGCTCGCCGAGCGGGCGCTGGGCCCGTGCGGAGCCCGACGCATGCGCGATCGGCTGCAGGAGTCCAGACGAGGAGCCGCTGGCCATGCAGAGGCTCTGCGCCGTCATGGGCAGCTTCGACCTGCAGCCTGCTGGGCGCGCAGGCCAGGCGCGGGGCCATCGGGCCCCCGTGGGCGCGGAGAGGGCGCGGAGCTGGCATCCCCGGGCCTCTGGTCGGAGCCACCCGCGCGCACGAGGGGCTCGGGGTGCCCTGCGAGCCGGGGCGAGCGGCAACGCCCGCCGCCGGGATCGCGAGGAGCGAGGGCCAGCTCCGCGAGCAGGGGCGGGTGGCGCGGCAGTGGGCAGGAGGGGGCGCGAGCCAGCCGCTGCGTCGGCGAAGCAGCGGCGGGCGGAGCGCGCCCAGAAGAGCAGCTGGCCAAGAGGGCCAGGGGAGGGCGCCGGCGAAGTGCTGCCGTGTCGCGGGGCGGAAGAGCGGCCCGCGGCGGAGCGCCGAACGCGCGCAGCAGGTGCCTGCTGCTGCGCGGGCCTTGCGGCGGCGGCTGCGCTGGCTACGCGCGCTTCGGCAGCGTGGAGCTCGGGGCGCCCAAGGAGGAAGTCGCGCCGAAGGCCGAGGCGTTCTGGGTCGGGGGTTTGCCGCGGGTGCGGCTTCCAGTCGGAGCGGCGACAACGGGCCTGCCCGCGCGCGGGCCGCCCATCCGTCTGCAGGGCCCAGAGGCGAGCATCGCGCGCGAGGGGTTCGAGCAACGCGTCGTGCAGGGCCTGTTCTCGCGCGGGACTTCGCCGCGGGGTAGTTGGGCCTTCTCTGCGAAGGAGCGCGTCAGCGGCCAGCGTTGCCGGACAGTGGTGGGCTACCGGCTGGTGGACTGGCGCCGGGTGGCATTCGCGCGATGCGTCTCCACCAGTGCCGCGACGCGAAGGGCGAGCTTGTCGGCTGCGTGTTCGTGTCGGGCGTGGGCGGCGCTCGCGCCGAGCATGCCGAGCAGGTCTTGGCGGCGTCAGCCGACTGCGGGCGTTTCCTGCTGGAGGTCCTGCAGCTCGGCGCGTCGACGTCGACCCGTTCGACCTTCCAGTCCTGCGCGGACGAGCTGCTCTCTGGGCCCGGCCGCGGGCGCCACAGACCAGCTCCTGACGCACTGCATCGACGGCTCCCGGCCAAGGGCCGGGCGAGGACGGGCCCACGGCGCGCGCGGATTTTGCTCGATATGCTGGCACGTGACACATGGGGGAGAAGGGGGGGAGCACGTGAAGGAGGAGGGGGAGGAGGAGAAGGTAGGCGAGGAGGAGGGGAGGAGGGAGGAGGAGGAGGGAGGAGGAGGGGGGGGGGAGGGGGAGGAGGAGGAGGAGGATGGAGGAGGAGGAGGAGGAGGGAGGAGGAGGAGGAGGAGGGGAGGAGGAGGGGAGGAGGAGGAGGAGGAGGAGGAGGGTAGCAGGAGGGGGAGGGGAGTGGAGGTCGGAGGAGGAGGAGGGAGGAGGGAGGAGGGAGGAGGAGGAGAAGCACAGAGTCCCGACCTCCTCGAGCCCTGCCCGACCGAGGCCGCTCTTCCTGCGCGAGCCCGACGCCTCGGACGCGGGGCCCGGCGCGGCGGGCTCGCGCCGCGGCCGCAGGAGGCGCCCCTCCGCCGCCGCCGTCGCCGCCGCGCGGCGCTCGGGGGTCGGCGGCAGGCGGCTGCCGGGCGTGTTCGCTCCACCTGTCAGCCACGCGCAGAGGGGGGTGGGGGGAGGGGGTGCTTCTGGGAAGCCCTCCGAGGGCTTCCTAGAAGCACCCCTGCTTCTTAGAGGGCGCGGGCCTCATCTATAGATGTGAGGCCGTCGCGCTCTACGAAGCAGCCTGCACTGCTTCTAAGAAGCCCTCCCCCCTCCCCCCACCCCCTTGTGCGCGCCGCCAAGCCTGGGCCCCTCGGGGGGTTCTCGCCGTCACGGCTGGGTTCCCCCACGGGGAGCGCTGGTCAAAACAAGCCCCCAGAAAGCGTCGTCGTCGCCGTCGCCGTGGCCGCCGTCATCGAGCCGGCTAAACGTCGCCGTCGCCGTTGTCGTCGTCGTCGTTGTCGTCGTCCTCGTCGTCTTTCTGCGTTTTCGGGCAGATCTCGGGCCTCTGGAGGCACCCTCGTCGCCCCAGCTGGATCCGACTGGAGATCCTGCCTTGCCAGGCACGGTGGTGGGCGTTGTTGGGGGCGTCCGAGGGGGCGGGCGGTGAGGATTGCAGTCTGACCGAGGCATAAGATCGAGGTCGGTTCGGGGTGGGTACCCTAGTGTTCTTCGTGCTTGTTGGATGTTCTTGTGCATCCTGGGGAGGGTACCCTTGGATGGTCTCTTTGCTTTGGCCGACGGAGGGTCTCACGTATTTGAGGGATGTTCTTCTGGCCTAGGTCCGACCGTATCATGGCCGAGGCCATGAACTCTCGGACTACATGGCCCCTTCTAATTTCAATGCGTCCCTTGCCCCCCCCTGTGTCGCGCAGGTGCCTCGGGCCATGATTTGGTGAAGCCCCCTCTTGGACGCCCACCTTCTTGGACGCCCCCGAGGTTGGGGAAGGTACATCGCTTAATCGTCGATCTCCCCAGGAAAATATGCGAAAATATGGGAAGTGGCGGGGAATACGAAAACCCAGAAGATCTGGGAAAATATAGGGAATCCTGGGATTTGTTTGTATTTGTTCGTGTGTCCCTGGGCCCCTTCAAAAGTACACACCCAAGTCATAGCACACACACACGAATTACTATACAGCCCCCTTCTATCTATCCACCGCCGGCATCACGCCACGGTCGCATCCTCCGAAGTCCTATCCTCCTCCTCCCTGCCGTCCTTCTGTGAAGGATCTACACATGTTTTCCTTCTGTGAGTGCGTTGCACATAGATTCCCTTCGCGGAGGAATTACCCATAGGTGCCTTATGCGGGCGGTGAGAAACACAAAAAAGAGAAACAACAACAACAAACAAATAACTCAAAGACCCAGCATTGAGCCACAAAAGAACCGAAGGAAAACACAACAAACAAACAACACACATACTTCACTACTTACTCATTCCACCGTTCCACTGCTCCACCGTCCGCTTTCTTCTAATTCCCCCCCCTTCCCCCCTGCCCCCCCCTTCACTCTTCCTCCTCCTCCTCCTCCTCCTCCTCATCCACCTCCTCTCCTCCCGTCTTTCTCCTCCTCCTCCTCCTGCTTGCTTCTCCTCCTCTTATCCCCCTCCTCCTCCTTCTCCTCCTCCTCCTCCTTCCTCCCTCTCCTCCTCCCTCCTCCTCAGCCGCTTCTCCCCCAAATCGGACGGTGCGCACGTCGTGCCAGACCCGGGCACTCGCCCGGCCACTGGGGGCACACGTAGTTTGTTCATTGTAGCGGTGCGATTTTGCCCTTTTTTCCTCTCAAACAAAAACAAGGGCCCCTTCTCATCTCCTCCTCCTCCTCCTCTCCTCATCCTCCTCCTACTCCTCCTCCTCATTCCTACCTCAGTCTCACTCCTCCTCCTAACACGTCTCACGTCCTCCCATCCTCCTCCTTACCCTCCTATTACTCCTCCTCTTCTCCTCCTCCTCCTCCTCATCCCCTCCTCTCCTCCCCATCCATCTTCATCATCATCATCATCAGGGGGGGGGGGGGCAGGAGGAGGGAGGAGGGAATGTGAGGAGGAGGAGAGAAAAGGGGGAAGGCGGGGAGGGGGGAGGATGAGGAGCAGGAGCAGGAGGAGGAATTGCAGGAATGAGGAGTGAGAAGTGACGAATGAGGAGGAGGAGGAGGAGGAGGAGGAGGAGGAGGAGGACCTGGAGCTGGAGGAGGAGGAGGAGGAGGAGGAGGAGGAGGAGGAGGAGGAGGAGAAGGAGGAGGAGGAGGAGGAGGAGGAGGAGGAGGAGGAGGAGGAGGAGGAGGAGGCGGAGGAGGAGGAGGAGGAGTGGAAGGAAGATACGGCACTGCAGGGAAACGTCGCGCGGTGCGCAAAGACGCTCACCTAAGAAAGGAGACGGCCAGACGCTTGCCTCGGAATCTGTCAGTGACGCGCCCCCCCACCCGAGGGATCGCGGGGAGAGCGCCCAGACCCATGAAAGGAGAAGGGAAAAGGAACTGGGCTGGCGCAGGGAAAGCGTCAGCCCAGAGTTCCAGACAGGCTTGCGGCATCACCTGGGACAGCGCTATGCACTATCCTCCAGGCTGTGCCCCCCTCAAGGCGATGGGAGTCCACCGGAGCCGCTCCCTGGGAGCGGAGGTGTGTGGCGCCACTTGGGAACGCACAGCTCGTGCTATCCGCCAGGCCGTGCCTCCCGCAAGATGCAGGAAGTCCACCGAAGCCACTCCCTCGAGAAATGCCCTGAACCAGGTCTGCGGCATCACCTGGGACAGCACAGCGCGTGCTATCCGCCAGGCTGTGCCCCCTCCGTGCGAGGGGAGTCCACCGAAGCCACTCCCTGGCTGCTGGGGCTGAAGATCCAAGCAAGCCGCATTGGGCTGACCCGGTCGATCGTGAGAGGACGGGCACATAATCGCATCTAGGCTATCTGCCCGCAGCGTATCAGAGACTACGGCCATCTCATCCTCATCAGAAGAGTGAGGAGGGGGAGGAGAAGGAGGAGGAGGAGGAGGAGGCGGAGGAGGAGGAGGAGGAGGAGCAGCAGCAGCAGCAGGAGGAGGAGGAGGAACAAGTGGAGGCGTGAGGAGTCCGTCTGCCGTTCTCCGTGGGAGGCGGGAGAATGGACGGAGGAGGGCGGACGGCGGACGGACTCCTCAGTCCTCCTCGCTTCTCATGCTTCCTCCTGCTCCTCATCCTCCCCCTCCCCGCCCTCCCCCTGTCCCTCCTCCTCGCCTTCCCCCCTCCTCCTGCTCCCCTTGAAGAAGAGGAGCGAGGCGTGAGGAAGAGGAGGAGGAGGAGGAGGAGGAGGAGGAGGAGGAGGAGGAGGAGGAGGAGGAGGAGGAGGAGGAGGAGGAGGAGGGGGAGAAGGAGGAGTGAAAGGGGGGACGGGGAGTGGGTGGGGGGACGGGGGCGGAACGAGGAGAGAGGAGACGGTGGAGCAGTAGAACGGTGGAGTGGTTAGGTATTGAAATGTGTGTTTTGTTGTTTGAGCTGTTTGGTTTCTTCCCCATGTCCTAAGATCGTATTGTGGTTATTACTTAGACGCCTCCTGCGCCCTCTTCTCCTCCTCTTCGCCCCCATGCTATGGTTCGGTGTGTTATGATATGGGTTGGTATGACATGTTATGGTATGGCATGGTATGTGTTATTTTGTTATGGTATGACATGATGTGGTATGGTATGTTATGGCTTGCGATGCCATATTATGGTATATGATGGTGATGATATTGCTGATGATGATGGTGGTGGTGGTGGTGGTGATGATGACGCTGGCGGAGCAAAGTCTGAGGATATCTCGAGCGAGGCGCGGGTTTCAGCATCCCCAAGTGGGAGCCGCTAGGAGGTATTGCACTCCTCCGTTCGCGCCAAAATGGCGGGAAATCTCGAGCGGTTTGCGTGTTTTGTGGCCCAACATCCTCCGCTTTCGGAGCAGATGTGGAGGATGTCTCGAACGAGGCGCTCATTGTCGCCTCCAAGTGGGGCCAGACTGTGAGGATGTCTCGATCGGTTTGCCTGTTTTGGTGGCCAGACTCGTGGGCACGGATCCTCCCCAGGATGCCACGGGAGGCTCCAGCAGGCTCCAGGGTGCCCCAGGAGGCAACAGGAGGTCCCAGGAGGCATCAGGAGGCCACAAGAAGACTCGAGAGGCCGAGGCCCCAGGAAGCTCCAGGAAGGCCTCAGGAGGCTCCAGAATGCCCCAGGAGGCCAAAGGAGGCCCCAGGAGGCCCCAGGAGGCAACAGGAAGCGCCAGGAGGCACCAGATGGCCCCGGAAGGCACCAGGAGGCCCCAGGAGTGGCCATAGGAGTGGCTCCAATCCCACGTGTTGTACGTATGCTCCTATAGATTGTGCTTCCCCTGGAGCACGAGTCATTCGTGTTTTACACATGTGTACATCGATTATCTCTCTCCTGTGTATCCAGCCCTAAGTGTTTTACGAATGTTCCTATGGATTGGGCATCCCGTGCGATGGCGCTGCCTAGAGGGGCTCTGGATCCCGTGACGGCTGCCCGCCTCGTCGAGGCGGCTGTGCGCGGGGCGCTCGGGGCGCCGAGGCGCACGGTGGCGGCGGTTGCGCGGTCAGCGGTCTCGGCGGCGGCCTTCGCCGTCGCGGCGCCGCCTCCGCCCGCCGCCGCCGCTGCCGCCGGGGCGCCACCTCCTGTTCCTCGTCCTGGTGTTCCGGGCCGCGCAGGTGCTGCTGCGGCCGACCCGACGGCGCTCGCAGCTCGGCGTCGGCGCCGCCGACAGCGCCGCGCGGCGCTGAAGGCCGCCGCGGCGCCCCTGCAGCCGCAGGCGAGGGCGTTGGGCGGGCTGCTGGAGCCGCTGCTGCCGCTGCTGGTGCGGGCCTCGCGCTCGCCCCCGTGGCCGCTGTGGAGGCGGAGGCTGCCGACGCGGAGATGGAGGACTTCGACGACGCATGGGCCGACGGGCTCGTGCGATTCCCCGATGGTGGGGCGGTGGCGGCCGCTGCGGAGGCCCGCCCGCCTCCCTCGGACGGGGCCGCTGCCGCGGCGGAGGCGGCGGATCCAGCTCGCGGAGCTGGAGGAGCTGCTGGTGCTACGGGGTGCGGCCTCGGGTGCGACGGCCAGGCCGACGGTGCCACGCGGCGGCGGCGCGGGCCCAGGCGCCATCGGGCGAAGGCGGCGGCGGAGCTGGGTGTGGCGCTCGCGGTGGCGGCGCCTGTTGTAGGCGGAGCTGCGGCTTCGGTGGTCGGCCCTGAGGATGCCTTCTTGGTGGCCGACGGCCTCCTTCGCCAGGCGGCTGACTACGAGCATCGGCTCAGCGAGCAGCTTCGGCAGATGCTGGAGTCCGTGAGCTGGAGGCCTGCCAGCGCCCTTTAGCTCGCGCTCGCGGGTGGCGCGCCTTGCGCCTGGTGGCTCCCTCCGCCTCTGCTCCTGAAGGGGTGGCTTCGGTGGACTGCCCTCTTTGGAGGGTGGCATAGCCTGGAGGGTGCCCCGCGGGGGTGCCCCAGGTGATGCCGCAGACCTCGGTAGAGCAAGCCGAGCATTCGTCAGCCTCGGCCTCTGCGGCAGCGGCGGTGTCAAGGGGAGAGCATTCGGTGGTCTGGCCCCGTTCGGGGCTGGCACGGCCAGGTGGGCGCCTCGCGCGGGCGCCCCTGGTGACGGCGCACACGCTGGAGCCACCCCAGGACCGAGCTCGTGCCGCGCGAGCCGAGGGCACAGCTAAACAAAATGAGGCACGAGTCCTCGGTGATTTATGCGTGTTCCTGTAGGCAGCCCTTCTACTGCGGCTCCAATCCGCAGTGCTTCATGTACGTATGTTCCTATTTGGGCCTCTCCTGAGGCACGAATCATCTCCAGGAGGCCCCCAGGATGCCCAGGAGGCCCCAGGAGGCCGCGCGAGGCCACAGGAGGCTTCAAACGGCCACTGGAAGCCCCGAGAGGCCCCAGAAGGCCCAGAGAGGCTCCAGGAGGCCCCAGGAAGCCCCAGGAGGTTTCAGGAGGCCCCAGGAGGCCCCAGGCTCATGCGCGCAGACTCGCTCGTACAACTGAGGCCCATTCACACTCCAATTCTTTCACAGTTAGACTCACCCCCAGTCTATCAATACTCAAACCCGTTCGTTCTCGAAGTCTCTTGCGCCTCGGCGCTCACAGCGGGAAGGTCCATGCTAATTGATGCACATATATAGGGAGCTCCACGCAGTGAGTAATCGGTTTGTGCTTAAGTTTTGGATATGTGGTTGTTTCGTTGTCTTTGGCTGTGCCTTGTGTTTTGTGGGATTTCTCGCCGCCCGCGTATGGCATCTACGGGCAGGCTTGCATGACGCATTGCTGCCGCAGTTCGTCGTTCACGGGGGGGAGGGGGAGGAGGAGGAGGGGGAGGTGGAGGAGGAGGCGGATGAGGCGAGGTGGAGAAGGAGGGAGAGAGGATAAGCAGGAGATGCAATTTCGGTGCTTTTGTTCGGGGTTCGAGTTTTTTATCGGGGGCTTCTGAGGGGTTCGGAGCGGCGCAAGTTGCTGGGGCTGGAGGCTCTCTTCTGGGAGCTCCTTGGCAATTGTCGGAGTCATCCGGGGGCTTCGAGGCACGTGGGAGTGGTATGAGACCTCTATGGGGTCTGGGGCTTTATTCCCCATATCCTAAGATGGGGCTCTTGTTCCCCATATCCTAAGATGGGGTTATTGTTATTACTTGGACGCCTCCTACTCCTCCTCCTCCTCCTCCCTCCTCCTCTTTCCTCCCCCCCTCCTGTCGGAGTTACTCATACTCAGACTTGCTCATACACAGACCTACTCATACTCAGACTTACTCATACTCAGACCTGCTCATACTCAGATTTACTCACGCTCAGACATACTCATACACAGACTTACTCATACACAGACTTACTCATACACAGATTTGGAGGATGTCTCGAGCGAGGCGCTCATTTCAGCACCCCTAAGGGGAGCCGCCAGGTGTGTTTGCACGGGCTCGTTCGCGGCCATGTTGTGGGGATGTCTCAGGCGGTTTGCCTGTTTCTGGGCCCAACATCCTTCGCTTTCGGAGCAGATTTGGAGGATGTCTCGAGCGAGGCGCTCATTTCAGCACCCCTAAGGGGAGCCGCCAGGGGTGGTTGCACGGGCTCGTTCGCGGCCATTTTGTGGGGATGTCTCAGGCGGTTTGCCTGTTTCTGGGCCCAACATCCTTCGCTTTCGGAGCAGATTTGGAGGATGTCTCGAGCGAGGCGCTCATTTCAGCACCCCTAAGGGGAGCCGCCAGGGGTGGTTGCACGGGCTCGTTCGCGGCCATTTTGTGGGGATGTCTCAGGCGGTTTGCTTGTTTCTGGCCCAACATCCTTCGCTTTCGGAGCAGATTTGGAGGATGTCTCGAGCGAGGCGCTCATTTCAGCACCCCTAAGGGGAGCCGCCAGGGGTGGTTGCACGGGCTCGTTCGCGGCCATTTTGTGGGGATGTCTCAGGCGGTTTGCTTGTTTCTGGCCCAACATCCTTCGCTTTCGGAGCAGATTTGGAGGATGTCTCGAGCGAGGCGCTCATTTCACCCCCCAGGTGGGCCAGATTTTGAGGATGTCTCGATCGGTTTGCTTGTTTTGGTGGCCAGGCTCGTGGGCGCAGATTCTTCTCAGGATGCCACAGGAGGCTCCAACAGGCTCCAGGAGGCCCCAGGAGACCACATGAGGTCCCAGGAGGCATCAGGAGGCCACAGAAAGACTCAAGATGCCACAGGATGTCCCAAGAGGCTCCAGGAGGCCCCAGGAAGCTCCAGAAGGCCTCAGGAAACCACAGGAGGCCCCAGGAGGCAACAGGAAGCGCCAGGAGGCCTCGGAAGGCAACAGGAGGCCCCGAGAGGCCCCAGGAGCAGGAGGCCTCAGAAGGCAACAGGAGTGGCTCCAATCCCATGTGTTTTACGTATGCTCCTATCGATTGGGCCTCACCTGGAGCACGATTCTTTGATGTTCTACGTATGTTTCTATAGATGGTCCTTCTCCTGTGTACACAATCCTAAATGTTTTACTCATGTTCCTATGTATTGGGCCTCTCCTGGGGCACGAGTCCTTGGTGTTTTACGCGTGTTCCTATATATTGCCCTTCTCCTGTGGCTCTAATCCGCAATGTTTTATGTACGTCTGTTGCTATAGATTGCGCCTCTCCTGGGGCACGAAACCTTCCTAGGAGGTCCCAGGAGGTCCCAAGAGGCTCCTGGAGACCCCAGGAAGCCCCAGTAGGTTTCAGGAGGCCCCAGGAGGCCCCAGGCTCATGCACAGAGACGCGCTCGTACTACTGAGGCTCATTCACACTCCAATTCATTCGCAGTTAGATTGATGTCCAGACCGTCACAACTGAAGCCCGTTAATATTCGAAAGTTCTTGCGCCTAGACATTCACGGCGGACAGGTCCATGCGAGTAGATGCACATATGGGGAGCTCCACGCAGTGAATAATTATTACTTGGACGCCTCCTACTCCTTCTCCCTCCTCCTCTTTCCTCCTCCCCTCCTGTCGGACTCACTCATACTCAGACTTGCTCATACTCAGACTTACTCATACACAGACTTACCCATACTCAGACTTACTCATATTCAGACCTACTCATACTCAGACTTACTCACACTCAGACATACTCATACACTGACTTACTCATACGCAGACTTACTCACACTCAGTTTGCTTGTTTCTGGGCTCAACATCCTTCGCTTGGAGAGCAGATTGTGAGGATGTCTCAGGCGGGGCGCTAGTTTCAGCACCCCTAAGGGGAGCCGCCAGGGGTGTTTGCACGTGCTCGTTCGCTGCCATTTTGTGGGGATGTCTCAGGCGGTTTGCTTGTTTCTGGGCCCAACATCCTTCGCTTTCGGAACAGATTTGGAGGATGTCTCGAGCGAGGCGCTGGTTTCAGCACCCCTAAGGGGAGCCGCCAGGGGTGTTTGCACGGGCTCGTTCGCGGCCATTTTGTGGGGATGTCTCAGGCGGTTTGCTTGTTTCTGGGCCCAACATCCTTCGCTTTCGGAGCAGATTTGGAGGATGTCTCGAGCGAGGCGCTCATTTTCACCCCCCAGGTGGGCCAGATTTTGAGGATGTCTCGATCGGTTTGCTTGTTTTGGTGGCCAGGCTCGTGGCCCTAAGGGGAGCCGCCAGGGGTGTTTGCACGGGCTCGTTCGCGGCCATTTTGTGGGGATGTCTCAGGCGGTTTGCTTGTTTCTGGGCGGGCATCCAACGCTCCTTCGAGAGCAGATTTGGAGGATCTCGAGCGAGGCGCTCATTTTCACCCCCCAGGTGGGCCAGATTTTGAGGATGTCTCGATCGGTTTGCTTGTTTTGGTGGCTAGGCTCGTGGGCGCAGATTCTTCTCAGGATGCCACAGGAGGCTCCAACAGGCTCAGGAGGCCCCAGGAGACCACATGAGGTCCCAGGAGGCATCAGGAGGCCACAGAAAGACTCAAGAGGCCACAGGATGTCCCAAGAGGCTCCAGGAGGCCCCAGGAAGCTCCAGAAGGCCTCAGGAAACCACAGGAGGCCCCAGGAGGCAACAGGAAGCGCCAGGAGGCCTCGGAAGGCAACAGGAGGCCCCGAGAGGCCCCAGGAGCAGGAGGCCTCAGAAGGCAACAGGAGTGGCTCCAATCCCATGTGTTTTACGTATGCTCCTATCGATTGGGCCTCACCTGGAGCACGATTCTTTGATGTTCTACGTATGTTTCTATAGATGGTCCTTCTCCTGTGTACACAATCCTAAATGTTTTACTCATGTTCCTATGTATTGGGCCTCTCCTGGGGCACGAGTCCTTGGTGTTTTACGCGTGTTCCTATAGATTGCCCTTCTCCTGTGGCTCTAATCCGCAATGTTTTATGTACGTCTGTTGCTATAGATTGCGCCTCTCCTGGGGCACGAAACCTTCCTAGGAGGTCCCAGGAGGTCCCAAGAGGCTCCTGGAGACCCCAGGAAGCCCCAGTAGGTTTCAGGAGGCCCCAGGAGGCCCCAGGCTCATGCACAGAGACGCGCTCGTACTACTGAGGCTCATTCACACTCCAATTCATTCGCAGTTAGATTGATGTCCAGACCGTCACAACTGAAGCCCGTTAATATTCGAAAGCTCTTGCGCCTAGACATTCACGGCGGACAGGTCCATGCGAGTAGATGCACATATGGGGAGCTCCACGCAGTGAATAATTTGGGGCGGGCTCGGGAATCCAGGAATGGCGAATGTGCTGGGGCTGGAGTTGGGAGCTCCTTGGCAACTGTGGGAGTATGTTGGGAGGCTCTCGGGTACCTCGGAGTGGTCCTTCTTGAATAGCTCTCGGGGTCCTCTTGGGCCATTTCTGGGCCCCTCTGAGGCCGTCTCAGGGACCTCTGTGGTCGTGTTGGGGCCATGTTGGGGGTCTAAGGCCGTCTTAGAGCCCGCCTTGGGGCCTCTTGGACAGTTCCTGGGGCCATCTTGGGGGGCCACTGGGTTCCGTCAGGCCGTTCGGGGCCTCTCTTGAGACGTCTTGGTCGCCTCTTCGGGGCCTCTTGGACCGTCTTGGGGCGATCTTGCAAGGACCTGGAGCCGTGCGGGGCCGCTCGGGGCTCGAAGTGGCGAACATGTGGGAAACATCGAACATTAAGTAACGTGTCGGTTTGATTGTTGGCTTCGTCGGCCGCCACCGGGGTCCCCGTGGTGCCGTCAGAGGAGCCTTCTGGCTGGTCTTCGGCGTCTTCGGGCCTTCTTGGGCCGCCATGTGGCGCGCCATGGGTTTGCTTGGGCCGTCCTGCCTTCCTCTTGAGCGCATCGGGGCTGTCTTGGGGCCGTCTGAGGCCGTTTTGAGGCCACCCGAGGGCCCGCTGGAACCGTGGTGGATCGCCCCGAAGCGCGCCAGGATTTCGAGCTGCTCGTCCGTTTCGCATGCGCCGCGACCAGGCTTGTAGTACTGACGGCGGGCGGCCCGAAGTCTGCAATGAAAACAAGATGCAAGATCATTCGCTGGTTTCGGCTATTCGCTTCAAGTTCATTTCGATTTAGCCAACCCAGCCGACAGAGCACGACGTCCCTGGCGACGAGTTGCCATTCAAACGCCACGTTGGGGCATCGAGGTGCAGATCGGGGATCGGGTTCATTGATGAGCCCGCTTGAAACGTGCCTACGGATAGACCGAAGCCGCATGCGCTCGAGCTGGTTCGGAGGAGGATAAGGAGGATGAGCGAGGAGGGTGAGCAGGGGCAGGGGCAAGGAGGAGGAAGAGGAGGAGGAGGAGGAGGAGGAGGAGATGGAAAGGAGCAGGCAGAAAACGCGAGGAAGAGGAGCGAGGAGAAGGACGACCAGAGTTAATCAAATATGCATGAGCGGTACTGCGATACACCATCCCATCCCAAGTCCCTTCCTCACATGCTCCTGTAAGTTGTTGAATGGCAAGCGCCCCCGCTGAAAGACCAGCACAGTTGGGCTTGCCATGTCGGCCAGGGCTCCGTTTTGAGCAGGAAACGCCTTGCATCTTTATTGCGCGCAATCATGATTTCGAGAATGATCGGACAGTTCAGCGATGTGTCCAATGATACACCCTTTTTGAAGAAAGACCGCCCTCCCACCCGTGTACTTGTTCCTGCATAAGTGTACATGTGTGATCATGTTCATCAAAGAAAATTGAGACTAGAGCCGCCATGGACACGTGCGGCGCTACGTGCGTTGATGTCTCGTGCTCTCGAACTTAACGAAAACTTAAGGAAGACATGTCTTTTGGAAAAGTAGAGTCCTCCATCCTGCTAGATCCACTCAAGAACGAAGGCGCGCGGCGCTTAAGCGAGAGCCTCATTCTGAAAACAGCCCGTGCCCAATCTTGGGAATTGTGGCAAGATGCGGGACGAATGGTCGCGGCGCTAACGCGAAAACTCGATTTTGAAGAAGAACCGCCGTCCATGTGCGCGGCGGTAAGTCGAGAGCGCAATGTTGGAAACCACCGCCTTTGCCACAGGTAAAACGGTTTCAAGATCAGAAGACAAATGTGTGCGGCGCTAAGGCGAGAGCCGCATTTTGGAAACGACCCCCACTTTTGTTAAATTGGTGCAAACTTCTGAGACGAATCTGCTCGACGCTAAGGCGAAAATCACAGTTTGCCAGCGCCCCCCTCCGCCATCGTGTGGTTGCTGAAAGCTTTGAAGGCAAATGCTTGCGGGGCGAAGGCGAGAGCTCCATGTTGAGAACGGACCGCCCTCCATCCGCACAACGGTTGAAAAAACGTTTAGAACGATTGTGCGCGGCGCTACGGCGAGAGCCACGTTTTGAACAGGAGCCGCCCTCCATCCGCGGCACTGCTGCGAACGTTAAGGTCAATGCCATCGGCGCCACGGCGAGAGCTCCATCCTGAACACCACCCGCCCTCCGTCCGTGGAACAACTGCGAGCTTTTGAGACGAAGGCGCACGACGGCCAGGCGAGAGCTCCGTTTTGAAGACGACCCGCCCTCCATCCGTGAAGCCGCTGCAGGTCTCGAGCTCCGGTCGCAGGCCTGGTGGGGACGTCTGGGGCGAAACGCCCGGCCCGCCACGCCGGCACGCCCCGGGGAGCGACAGGCACGAGCGGTTCGTAAGTCAGGAGGGGAAAACACACACACAGACACAATTGATCGTCGACTCCCCAGAAAGCATGCGAAAATATGGGATGTTGGGGGGGAAGACAGAAACCCAGACAAGATGGAAAAATGTGGGGAATCATTTTGCTTGTGTGTATTTGTTTGTGTGTCCTGGGGCCCCTTCAGTAAGGAGCGGGAGGGCCCACCGCTCCCTGGGAAGGCGGCCCCTCCGCACCCCCCGCCCCGCCTACCTCCGCAGGCGCGGGGGCGGCGCCAGCGCGATCGACCTCGCGACGCGCCAGCAGCAGAGGCGGCCTGCCGGCGCGGCGCCTGGGTCGAGGGGCGGTGCCCTCTCCCTCTTCCCCCCTTGAGGCCCCCGAGCTTCGAGCTTCGAGCTGCGGACCACTGCCTCCATGAGGCTGCGGCCTTCGATTCCCCCAAGCTCCTGCTCCTCCTCCTCCTCCCCCTCCCTCCTCCTCCCCCTCCTCCTCCTCCTCCTCCCCCTCGTCCTCCCCATACTCATGCCGTCCCGTTGCACTGACCATCGACCATTTGCCCTCTTCTCGCGTCGTGTCCGCTGGCCCTCGTCTGGTCTCTTCTCTTGGCCCGTGCGCTCCTCCTCCTCCTCCTCCTGATTCCTCCTCCTCCTCCTCCTCCTCCTCCTCCTCCTCCTCCTCCTCCTCCTCCTCCTCCTCCTCCTCCCCCCTCCTCCTCCTCCTCCTCATCCCTCCTCCTCCCTCCTCCTCTCCTCCTCCTCCCCCTCCTCCTCCTCCTCCTCCTCCCCTCCTCCTCCCTCCTCCTCCCCCTCCTGATCCTCCTCCCCCTCCTGATTCCTGATTCCTGTGGCGGCACGATGCTCGGGGTGTGGCCTCCCCCCCCACCCAGGGCCCGTCGGCCCTGCAGGGTGGATCAAACTGGGGCCAGGTGCCCCCGGGAGCACCGCTCCAGGGGCCACCGGCGGTGCGGCAGAGAGTAGCAATCGGGAGGAGGAGGAGGAGGAGGAGGAGGAGGAGGAGGAGGAGGAGGAGGAGGAGGAGGAGGAGGAGGAGGAGGAGGAGGGAGGGGAGGGGCGAACGAAAGGGGGGGGATAGGGAAAGGGGGGGGGTACGAAATCTGCTGCGTGCAGCTGGCGTCGGCCCCACCGAGGGGCCCATGCCTCGATACATGGGCGCCTCCCGGCGCCAGGAGGCGCCAGTAAAAAATCAGCCACGTGAGCTGATTCTCAACCCCCCCCGTTGCTATCCCCCCTTTCGCCCGACCCGAAACAAGGAAAAGCGAAGGGTGGCGACAGACAGAAGTCGAGGAGATAACGGGAGGAGGGAGAATTGAATCGAGGCAGGCAGGATGCTTGGCAGCGGGGATTGTAGCTTGGCCGCATGTGGCGTACGATGGCCAGCTGGCCTTAGGTTGCAGCTACCTCCGCGCGAGATTCCGTCCACCCCCCAGGCCCACCCACCCCCAGGCCCACAGTCGGCAGGCAAAGTGGCAGCGGCGTGTCGAGTCGAGTCGAGTAGATGCGCTGAAGTCGAAGAGTGTGCCAGATGTAAAGGGTTGCTGAAGCCTACGGCGAAGGACCTGGCGCCCGGTACCAGCGTAGCTCGGGGAACAGCATGAGGTAATCGCTGGGGGACGAGAAAGGCTGGCGACGACCCTAGGCTGGCTGCGTTGTCCTCTGCGTGGCGACTGCTTCGCAATTTAATAGCCAATGTGACCAAATCAAGGTCGGAGTTGCGGGGCAGAAAGAAGGGCGGCGGGTATGGGTGTGGCGGTGGCGGCCCGTGTCCACATTCCCCGATGTGGAAGGCACAGACGCTTCTGTCTTCCTCTGCGCGTAGGAGCCCCCACAGGCGGCCCCGAGGTCAGTCACGGATTCCCTCACTTGCAGGCAGGCGCAGGTTTCCCAGCACATTGACCTCAAGGCCGTTTGCATGTGTGCGTGCCTTCCTGGCCGTTGTGGGGATCCCCACGCTTGCCAGTCGAGTGGGCGGCCACTTTCGCCCAAGTGGAAGGCATAACGGCCTCCTGCACATAGGATTAAGTCGAGCGTGTCCCTCTACAGGAGGGATGTTCAAACATAGTCAAAAATAGTATGGGGACGACTTTATAAACATGTTTTGACAATGCTTGAGCATTTTGGTGAGTGTTTTTATTTGACGTCCAAAATCCGCCTGTAGGAGGACATGCCCGACCTAAACATAGGACCCCCCCCAAAGCGTCGACTGGTACTCTCCCCTGACGAGCAGGAGTAGGGCACCCAGGCCACGGGAGTGGTGGCCGCTTCGGGGCGGTCCACACCGTGCTTGGGGGAGGTGTATGCCTTCCTTGGCGGTTGCACGGCCGTAGGTGAGTTGACGCTCCCCCCTCCCAGCAAAATGATCCCAACCCAGCACCGTGAAGTGAGTAGCGCTGCGGCAAATGAGGAGGTTGGTGGGAACGTGTTTTCACGCCTGAGTAAACAAACGTTGACGACAATAACACCTACGGTAGCATTTTGCTCTTCTCCGGTACTTCGCCACCGGGCTCTTGCCGAAGGCGTCCCTTTGCAAGAACTTCGGCTTCGGCACCGCCTGTTTCCGAGGCTATGCCTCCTCTCGGCCTCGCTCTGAGGCTCCGCCGCTTCCTCCCTCCTCTTCTCCGCCTAATTCAAGCTTCGCGCGGCCCGCTTAGCTTCGACCGGAAGAGGTGCGCTCTCGACCCGCAGATCAAAAAAGCTTTCACGCCCGAGGAAAGCTGGCAAACGACAGGAGATTGGTGCGGAAATGTAGGCTGTGCGGGCACGCTGCGCGCCCTGTGTGTCCAGCCCGAGCGATGCTAGGCACGGTGACGACCCGAGGCCCGTTGCGATGCAGCCACGGCTGCCCTTGCCTCTGCCAGGGCGGCCCGTGGCACGTTTCTGACTCTTCCCCCCGCCGCATATCCGCCCCGCTCCACCACCGCAAGAGGAAGGATGGTGGGAGGTCAGCGTGGAAAGGCGGGGGAAGAGGGGGCCGCAAGAAGATGAGCCGAGAGAGAGCGTGAAGGCTGGAGGTTGGTAGAGGCCCTCATGCTGCATGCCATGTCTGTGGCTGAGATAGCCTCGTGGGGACCCACTGACATCTCCTTGTGGGTGAGACTGCCCCGTAGGGGCCCGCTCGAGCACGTCGGATAAAGTATCATGCGTTGGTGAGAAAGCCCCTTGGGGGCCCACAGCATAGCATGGCTGTTGTCGGTGCTCTCGCCGTGTGCTGTGCTGCGTAGCTGGGTGTCTGCGCCTCGCACTGCCGCCGATGGAGATGTAAGGGTACGACTTCTGCTACCAGCTGTGCTGCTGCCGGTGGTAACCAGTGAGTGCGTACAGTTTGGTATGAGCGCAGTGCCGAGATGTGTAATTGCCATGGAGCAGCTGGTGCAGTCTGCTGTCTGCCGTGGAGCCAGAAGAGTCGAACTTGAGATGTGGGGAGTGGTGACGCACTGATGGGCCGCCGGTCCGCCGGTCCCACCCTGAGGCTAGGGCCTCGCAGTTGTTGGCGATCAGGGGGAGTCTCCTGATTCGCTGTAGTGTTGTATTCGAGCTGGTAGGCGACGTTGTTCAGTGGCCATGGTTGCCATTCTTGGTCAACTCCAGTCGTTGTGGTCGTCTCGGGGCTGCGAGCCTGCTGATCATGCAAGTCCGTGGGGTTGTTATGCCCTCCCTCCTACGGTGTGGTGGTCGGTATGCCCACTCTTTCAGGACGGTTGGGGCCGTAGACGCGCTAACCGCAATGCAGGTAACGGCGATGTAGGCTTCGGCATTGTAGATGGGACTGGTTCGTGGCCAAACCAATTGTAGGACATGGTGGTTCGTGCTTTCCTACAATTCCCTGCGTCGTATTCGCTCGATGCATTCGCACATTTGCAATGTAGGAAAGTGTGGTTCGTGATTCCATACAATTTGTTCTGCGCCAGCTCGGCGTCACAAAAGTCGGATTCCCAACACCGCCGTTAACCAACATCGCCGTCAGCGCGGCTTCGGTCCAGGTCGGTTGGGGGGGGCTGGGGTCGTATGCAGGCGTGGCTTCGTCCTGGTCGGTGATCGTCGTGCGGACATCTGCTGACACTGGCTGATGGTCGTTCTTGGTCGCACATGAGACTTCGGGTTGCTGTGCTGCTGCAGGTGGGCCCTCGCTCCAGCGGTGGGGGTGCCTAAGTCTGGACGTTGTTCGCGCCATGCTGCAAATTGATCGGGCGAACGAAAGGGGGGGATAGGGAAAGGGAGGGTCACGAAATCTGCTGCATGCAGCTGGTTTCGGCCCCGCCGCCGGGCTCATTCCTCGATACATGGGCGCCTCCTGGCGCTGGGAGGCGCTGGGAAAATCAGCTACGTGAGCTGATTATCTACCCTACTCTTTGCTATCCCCCCCTTTCGTTCCCCCCGAATTGAGCGAGGGGCGTCTCTAATGGGGCCGACCCAAACGGGGGTCCAGCGACAAGGGGGTGGTGCAGTAGTAGTGCAATAGATTTATGGGGTTGCAATACATGTGGGTTGTGCAATACCTATCGGGGCGCAAATGTACTGCTGGATTCTCGCGCGCAATGCATTGCTTATAATGCAATGCAATATCATTCTCCGTCGCAAAACACTTGCAATATAACTGCCCCAAATCTATTGCACCACCTTGAAATCGCCGCGGGGGCACAATCGGCTCTCCTCTAGAGGAGGGGGGTGTCGGGGCGCCAGTTTCCCGCAGTTCAAGGAAGCAGAATCGTCGATTCTATAGATTCGCAGTGCGTCGTCAGTGATGTCGGCGTCCAGCTGAAAGGGGGTGGTGCCACCACCCCCTTTCAGCTGGACCCCCTTTTGGGTCACCCAAATCTAAGCGGTTGAGCCTGGCGGTGCTGTTGCCGAAGCTCATCTCGTGGTCTTGCGGTGCTGGCCCTCGTGGCTGCGGGCCGTGGTGCCGTGGCTCGGAGAGTGGGCTCGAGCTCGTGCTCGCGCTGGGCTGCTTGGCGGAGGAGGAAAAGGAGGAGGAGGAGGAGGAGGAGGAGGAGGAGGAGGAGGAGCAGGAGGAGGAGGAGGAGGAGGAGGAGAAGGAGGAGGAGGAGGAGGGAGGAGGAGGGAGGAGGAGGAGGGAGGAGGAGGAGAAGACGCGAAGCAAGCAGACGACGCACGCGCAGGCAGCAGGGCCAGGGTCTGCGGTTGGCCTGCTACACCCTTGTGGCCGGGTGGAGTGATCCGCGGCAGCGGCGCGCAGATCGGGGCCTCCGCAGAAGGCTCTGAAGGCCTCCGGACTCCGGCCTTCTGAGGGGCTTCTTGAGCCGTCTCCGAAGCCCACCTGCACCGAAGGCCGAGGT